TGACAGGGCTGTCGTTGGTTAGTAAAAGGAAGTCATGGGACATCCAGTATAGTATGATCACTGCAGGAAAAAAAAACCAACAACCAAAAACCAAAAAACAATTAGAGAACCCTTTTGCCTAGGCGGCACTCAAAATCAAAGACATTCTGACTAATCCTAGTGTCATAGGCAAAACCAAGGTCAGAGCTTCGAGCCAAGAAGGCAGCACTGAGTGATACGGAATTATTCACATGCCACTCATGTTCTGACGACCTAAGGTACAGTCTGGAGAAAGCCCAGGTCTCCTGAGAAGGGCACTCTGGGCTGAACAAGCAGGACCACTGTGGATTCCAGCACAGAGCTTCCCTGACCACTGAACCGCATGAAGAAGACATGAGACACGACTCACAGGGAAGGAATTGCTGAGCCATGATGTGCCAAGGTCAATGGTCTGCTTGGATCTGACAGTGAGGAAGACAGATGTTCCATGGGCTTCTGATGACGGTGCTTCAGATGTTTTCAGCAAAATTTCGGTCATCTAGACTGAGTCCAGCTGGCTAATTGTATACTTTTTACCATAAAAACATTAGAAACAAAATTATACATACAGATGCATATATTATCTACTTATCTTTTTATTCAGCCACACAGAAAATCTCTGGAAGAATCCTTCTAATTGTTACTAGTAGTTCATTTCAGGGAAATAATTGGGCAGGAGTGGGTGGGGACAATGACAGGTGTGTGCCACTATGCATGCCCAGCTACTTGATCCCCTAACTATGACAAAGACTTAAGAAAGTTGAAGACTGACACACTGTACAAATTTCTGTATTATTTGCAATTAACTACATTTCAAATTTGAAGATGATTCATATAGAAAGATATCAAGTGAATCAGCTGGAATCTAAAATGCAACATGAAATAACAGCCTATTACATGCTTATTAAGAGTAATGCAAGTAACCCGCTTTGATCTTGCTATGGTGTGCTATGGCAAAAATAACAAATATGACTGGCTGTAAAAATGCCTCAATGGCCAGTACTTTGCTTCCTGGAAACAGCATGGAAGGAATCTGGAGACAGTGGCACTACCAGAGGAGGGCCTGTCATTGAACTGCAATAATAGTGTAATATGTGTACGAGGGGATTAAGAATAAAGCACCGAAAAGTAACTTGGCTGCGCTGTGAGTGAACTGCTGTAGGAATATACCATGACACTTTGGAGACATCGCTCTTCCCTCAGCTCTCTTTTTTCCTGGTGTTGAGATACATACCTTTTCTCTTACTGAATTCTCTTTATTCAGAACCTTCCAGAGCTTGACATGACAACTTTATGATTATTCTTCAAAGTTGGCTTCACTGTGTGTGCCTTTTCCCTGTGCCAGCAAAACTTCCTGTACTCTGCACATCCGTATGTGGTGGGTTTTTTTTTTCCTTCCTATTTGCTTATAATCTCTTCTAATTTGATCTCATTTCCTGCAGTGTCAAATACAGTACATATTCATTAAATGAGAAAATAGTGTGTTCTCTGGTTTAAAAATTACCTGATCTCAAAACTAAAAACACACACACACACACACACACACACACACACACACACACAGAAAAGGAAAGCTAATTTCATAGAAGTCCAGAGGAGTGTGGGAGAAGGGGTAGAGGAACATGGTCTGTGGATACAATGTTAGTATAGACTGGACTGCTTTATAGCACAGTGTAGTGGCCATGGTTAACAGTGATTGACAGACAGAAAGAGTACATGGGAAGTGTGAATCGGAATTGATGGACTTAAAAAAAGAGTAAGACACAGAGTTGGGTGGGAAAGGAAGGTGAGGTAGATTTGGCAGGAGTCTAGGGAAGGGTGAATATGATCAAAACACATACAAAATGCTCAAAGAGCTGATTAAAATAGATCGTATATTTCAAACAATTAAAGCAGTATTTTTCATCTTATTTTAACTATGGAAATATATTGCTGTCCAGTGACAGTGCACCGTGGCGCTGCCATGCATACTTCCTCGAGTTTCCCCTTTTTTCTACCCTGGAGAATATGAGGGAGGAGATGAAATTAAATGAGGATTCATGTTGAAGACAAAAATAATTAAAAAAAAAAAAACCTTAAAAACTACCCGTGATGGCCATTGTGCCCCACCTCAAACCACGCTAGTGTTATCATTTAGAAAGATTTTTGGACAGGAACTAAACACAGAAATAATTTTCCAAAATCTGGTACAAGCCAGTTGGAGCATTATTGATACAGTTGCTAGTTTTTCTGACCTAAGAATCTTCAGAAACTAAAGGGAACTAATTCAACTTATAAGTTCTAGTCTGTTCTGATCTTACAACACACTTGGAGTTAATTATCATTACTTGCACACCACATGCCACATTAGAAAATATTTTATCAAAACTTTGGAATGAGGGTCAAGAGTGAGTGCAGTTCAGTTGGTAGTATTCACCTCACATGCATGAAGCTCACATAATCTCCAGCAAGGCATAATCCAGTCATCGTGACACTAGTCTGTAATCTCAGCATTCAGGAGAAGGAGGCAGGAAGATCAGAGGGCCCATCTTCAGCTACATAGTAAGTTCAAGGCTAGCCTGAGATACAGCAGAGTCTGTGTTAGCCACAGCAGATCCTTCAGAAAGCCTGTACGTTTAGATTAAACAGGAGGATCTAGGTGTCTTAGCCTTTTTGGCCATTTTAAAAATAATTAGCAGCTGAGTGTAATAGAGCTGGCCCATTAACACCAGCTACTTGGGGGGCTGAGGTAGGGTGATTGGAAAGTTCAGGACCAGCCTGTCTCAAATAAAAATACATGTGAGCTAGAAGTGTATCTCAGTGGTAGCATACTTACCAGGTACATACAAAGCCCTGAGTTCATTTCCCAGTATTGTGACGATAGCAACAGTAAAATTCAGTGAATTTTCTTCAAAATTATATTCCGGGTTCGTTTTAAAGTGCAGGGATGAGTCCAGAGCCTTGTGCATATGAAGAAAGAGTCCCAATACTAAGTCACACCCTCAGGCCTGAACAGTTTTTTTTCCCCATCTGATTGCAGCTAATTCTATAAATAATAATTACAGGCCACATTAATAACTTTTAATTTCTTGTGGAGAGAAGAACCCTTGTTCAAGGCTGGCTTTGACAGGCTGTCACGTAGTTCATCTGATTACGGGACTTATCTAGGAGCTGGACAAAGATGACACACTATATGAGCCTACAATGCTAACCACAGCATCATCTTCATCTCTTCATTAAGTTAGGGACTGAGCACTGTTGCACTCTCTTCCCTGGTTTAAATCTAGATCTGGGGATTTCTCTTCCTGGAAGCTATTCCCAGCTCTTCCTGTTGTGTAGTTACAACTCTAATTTCGCTTATCTAATTTCGATAGTGTGCTTGAATTATAGACCAAACATTTTTGTGAAGAAATACCAACATAACGCCAATCTACTTAAATAGCATTATTTAACTATTTAAATAATTTTAGATATCATTATAGGACAAGGCAATAACCAGGATTAATCAATCATGTCCAACTTCTGTGTAAGAGAACTTGAGATAATTTCAATGACATCACTGAAATCTATTTGTCCTCATCTTGGTATACTCCTTTAAGAAAAAAGAGTAGTGACTCCTAAACACAGCATTCTTCAAGTGTTCACCGACATTTGCAGCCCCTGAAGGTGCCCACAACAAAAAAGTGGGCCAAGTTGAGGCATCCGTCCAGGTGCCTTCAGGTACAAGTTTGACACCCAAGAGAGGGGAACGACTGGATTTGAAGATGCTTCTAAGTTGACAAGGGAAGGTGAGGACCAGATGTGTGAGTCTCACATCATCAGAGAATGTAGATGGGGAAGCCGGAGGGGTCAAAGTAAGGGTGCAAACTCATGGAACTGGGGCAAGAAAGGAGAAGGGGGAAAGAGGGGAGGGCGAGGAGGGAGAGGAGAAAGACAGGAGCGGGGGGGGGGGGGGGGGGGGGGGGAGAGGAGGAGTCGAGGGGGCAGAGTTAAGAAGCCAAAGCTAAGCTGACCCACAGGGAGGTCAGCAGAACATGGAGCTGCAGTTGCTTGTTATGACAGCTCTGGGTGCACCGTCCCAGGTCTCTGTGACTTCAACCTTCTTTTTGTCATAAGAAAAATCAGAGTCCTGCAAGCTCCAGATGACTCGTAGCTAAATAAACTCCAATACATTTTCTTCATTTTAGTAACTCTAACTGGGACGTTTTGCCCAATCAGTTCAACTGCTTTGAAATCTCCACAGCTGGAGAATTACAATTTAGTCTCTCATGTATACCATCTCCCAAATGCTTATGACATTAACCAATCACATAAAATATCACAGTAACAAGCGCACACGACCTTAAAATTTAGATACTGCAACACAAGAAGCCCCTGCCAAAGTACTCGTTTCCCTAGGCTAAACTGTGTCAAAACATATTCTGTGGAAAGCAGGGGCTACTTAAGAGTCTCCACTTACAAAAAATCACTTTTAAAAACATTGAGTATTATCCTCAGGAGATTTTATTTGAAAAATGAGGTTCTGCTTCCTCTGTTATGTTTGAAAATCACTGCTTTGTAATAGTAGCTCCCACACTGGAGCGGTGTTCTCAGATCCCAGGAAATGTGTACAATCGAATCATGCTGCTGTCACAGCTCTTGACCTTGGTAGAGCTAGAGAGGTGGGAGGCTGGGAAGAATAGGTGGAGAAAACAGCAGCAAGAAAGCAAAGCTCTGTGGCTCATATTCAGCAAACACAGCCCATCCATACCATTGCCCAATGACTGTCATACTCAGAAGGTACTCTGAAATTCAACTCTCAGAATTTAATCTGAGGGAAAAGAGAAACTAAACCCACAGAAAGCTTTGTAGAGGGTGGTTGTGGTGGCACACACCTATAACCCTAGCATGCAGGAGGCCAAAGCAGAGGGGTGGCAAGTTTGAGGCTAGCCTGGGCTACATAGGAAATTTTGTCTCCTCTATCTCATAAAAGCAAAACAGGGGTGCGGTGCGCACGCGCCGAAAGGCCCACAGCCAAGACCTCACGCGGGCTTCTTGCTGGCCTTTAAGATCAGGTTTGGTGAGCTGGGATACTCCTATAAGAAAAACAATTTTTCGTCTATTTCATGTCTGCTTTTCGCCCCTGCTAGCGGGATCGCCGTATCCGGAACAGACCCCGCCTTCGGGTTTTTGCCTCTGCCGCCGGAGGCTTCCGCCCGGGTCCAAGATGGCGTCCGGGCGTCCTTCTTAACTTCCACCTGCCTTGGCGGCGTCTGACGTCGGAGCTGGCAGTGGGTGGGGCGGTTAACAACCCGCAAATGTAGGGTCCTGGGAGCGGGAGTCGGCCATGGACTGGAAAGACGTGCTCCGCCGGCGCCTGGCGTCGCCCAACAAGGATCCGAAGAGGAAAAAAAGTGAACAAGAATTAAAAGATGAAGAAATGGATTTATTTACCAAGTACTACTCAGAATGGAAAGGAGGTAGAAAAAACACAAATGAATTCTATAAGACCATTCCCCGGTTTTATTACAGGTTGCCCGCAGAAGATGAAGTCTTACTACAGAAATTAAGAGAGGAATCTAGAGCTGTCTTTCTACAGAGGAAAAGCAGAGAACTCTTAGATAATGAAGAATTACAGGTACGAGTGGACTCGATGGCTTTAGCTGTTACCCATTTCTTTCTTGTACTTAAGTCGTGCAGGATTTTGTTATGCCTCTTTGGATTCTCACTGCAGAGTAGTACTCCATAGGTTTCTGAAGCAGAGCTTGTATACGTGTACCAGAATCAGCTGCTGAACTTGCATGGCCTGATTTCCAAGGATAGTGCTCTTAAGGTTTTGTTTCTTAAGTTCCCACATGATCCTAATGAGTGGTCAAGGTTTGGAAAACAGTACAGTATCGTCATCCTCAGCAGAAGTCCAAATCCTAGGCCCCTGCCAAAGTGTGACTTTAGGCAATAGACTTGATACCTTTATGCTTCAATTTTCATGTGTAAAGTAGATAGTGCCTACATTAGATAGTTACATGGATTAAAGAAGTAATATGTTTTGAAAACTTAAACTTTAGTAAGCACAATAAGTGTCAATTATTTTATTAGTAGTCAAAGTAATGGGGCATAGAGTCACCTTTATTAGACAGAAATGGTGCATTTACATTCTTAAATCCATCGTTAACTTACAACATTTCCGTTTCCCTAATTCTCTTAAGAACTTATGGTTTTTGCTGGATAAGCACCAGATACCACCTATGATTGGAGAGGAAGCAATGATCAATTATGAAAACTTTGTGAAGGTTGGAGAAAAGGCTGGACCCAAGTGCAAGCAATTTTTTACTGCAAAGGTCTTTGCCAAACTGCTCCATACGGACTCCTATGGGAGAATTTCCATCATGCAGTTCTTCAACTACGTCATGCGAAAAGTTTGGCTGCATCAAACAAGAATAGGACTCAGTTTATATGATGTTGCCGGACAAGGGTACCTTCGGGAATCAGACTTAGAAAACTACATCCTGGAACTTATCCCCACTTTGCCACAATTAGATGGGTTGGAAAAATCCTTTTACTCTTTTTATGTTTGCACAGCAGTTAGGAAGTTCTTCTTCTTTTTGGATCCTCTAAGAACAGGGAAAATCAAAATTCAAGATATTTTAGCATGCAGCTTCCTAGATGATTTACTGGAGCTAAGGGATGAGGAACTGTCCAAAGAGAGTCAAGAAACAAATTGGTTTTCTGCTCCTTCCGCCCTGAGGGTCTATGGTCAGTATTTGAATCTTGATAAAGATCATAATGGCATGCTCAGTAAAGAAGAACTCTCCCGTTACGGAACGGCAACCATGACCAATGTCTTCTTAGACCGTGTTTTCCAGGAGTGTCTCACTTA